ATCTGCAGTAACTGCTTCCTAGATTTAGAGAACAAACTCTGGATCTGCCACTGGAGTTTAGGGAATTCTAAAGAGAAAAAGAGTGGGAAAAATCGATGGCACATCATTTCTTGGCATCTAGAGGTGCCAAAAACAGGATACTCAAAAGCATGATAAGGGTTGGGTTTTTATTATAAGGATTTACGCTTCGTTATGTAACGTGGTAGAGGTTAACTCTAGTCTAGTCTTTTGTTGAGAGTTTAATCTGATGTTGGATATCTTGGCGCTAAAAAAACAGTTGCATTTTTGGAAAGCATTGTCATAATAGAATGTTGTGCTGCCAAGACATCTAAAATTCTACTGTGCAAGAAATGTGTCCGGAGTTGTAATTAGTTTTGCTGCACTTCTTTGATGCTTTTGGAAAGTGAAGTAATTACTCCAAGAAAAAGTAGTTATTAGTGAATAACTTAATGTGTGATTCTGGTGCTAGATAACACTGACACTGATCTATAATCATGAGGTTAATCTTCCTTTCTTTCTCTCTATGCAAATATAGGGTTATTGTTCCTCCACTTCCTGGTTCTGGCAGCAGTGATCTCTTTCCTGGGCCTGGTGCTGGAATGTATCCATCAAGGTTTCTTAGCTTTCTTACATTGTGATGCATAAATATTATTGTTTTTCACTCATGTCTCTGTATTTGAGGAGTTGATTGTTAGCTTTCTTACTTTGTGATGCATAAATATTATTGTTTTTCACTCATGTCTCTGTATTTGAGGAGGAGTTGATTGTTATATATTTTTTTTAACTTTTTTTAGGGGTGATTTTGGTGGAGGAAGCATGCTTATAGGTTCGTAAGTTGTCTTGTTTCATATCTGATCGACGGTTTCAACAGCAACACTTGTTTGGATTTGTAATGTCTTATGGTGGCATGCAGGGCCACATGATCCCCAGTTTTTTGGAGGAAATAGAGGAGGTGTGCCTGGTTTACCAGGAGGTCAACCGTGAGTCTCTCGCTCTCATGCTTGTGTCCATCTGTGTGTGTAGTGTCTCTAAAATTTTATTGTGTTACCGGGTGTTAATTTAACTTAATAATGCAGGGGTGTTCCACCTGGTGCCCGTTTTGATCCTTTTGGCCCTCCTGACGTTCCAGGTTTTGAGCCCGGACGATTTGTTAGGTATGATGATACATAATTTTTTCATAAATTTGTATGGTCAATCAGAGAGTAATACAAATTTATTGGTTCAATGAGTTCTAGACAGGCAACGTATGAAGTCAGTACGGTCTGTTACTCACTAGTAGTGTCTTTCCAGTTTCCACTTTGTCTTTCCGGTCAATTATTACATCTATGATTGTAGTGCATGATCCAAATTATCTCAGGTCTTTTCTCATTTCACTAATTATTCTATCCATCTTCAAACATTACATTTTTTAAATTGAGTAGTGTAGCAGATATCATATGCTGGGCCGTTACTCAGCATCCATTACTTCCATTTAATAAACATGTGGGCCACAAAGTACTATATTTTCTTTTAGCTTTAAATTCTATGAGCTTGGTTAGAACCTGTTTCTACTGAATTTTTTACTGTTAACATGATTATATCCAAATTACATTCCTTATTGACAAGGATGACTTCGTCACCATTCAATGTTAACATTTCTTGGTACCAGTTGATGGTTTCTGTCTTTGAACTTCGTTTTGTTATCTTAATTTCATCTTTCAAGCTTCTTAATCATTGAATAAGAAGCAATTCCTTTACAGGACTCTTGAAAAACAAGTATTCTTGTTCATCATCACGTCTGATCAAACAAGACACTTGGTAATTGGTATAATAGTTAAAGGTCTTTCATGCCTTTATCTAGAACATTAATTTTTAAATTACATTGACTTACCCTGAAAGAGAACATTAAGTTGTGCTTTAAGGTGATGTTCTAGGCATGGTAGAGTAAACTTAAAACAGAGCTTTAAGTAACTGACTGATTGAATTGAGTAGTGTAGCAGATATCATATGCTGGGCCGTTACTCAGCATCCATTACTTCCATTTAATAAACATGTGGGCCACAAAGTACTATATTTTCTTTTAGCTTTAAATTCTATGAGCTTGGTTAGAACCTGTTTCTACTGAATGTTTTACTGTTAACATGATTATATCCAAATTACATTCCTTATTGACAAGGATGACTTCGTCACCATTCAATGTTAACATTTCTTGGTACCAGTTGATGGTTTCTGTCTTTGAACTTCGTTTTGTTATCTTAATTTCATCTTTCAAGCTTCTTAATCATTGAATAAGAAGCAATTCCTTTACAGGACTCTTGAAAAACAAGTATTCTTGTTCATCATCACGTCTGATCAAACAAGACACTTGGTAATTGGTATAATAGTTAAAGGTCTTTCATGCCTTTATCTAGAACATTAATTTTTAAATTACATTGACTTATCATGAGGTTAATCTTCCTTTCTTTCTCTCTATGCAAATATAGGGTTATTGTTCCTCCACTTCCTGGTTCTGGCAGCAGTGATCTCTTTCCTGGGCCTGGTGCTGGAATGTATCCATCAAGGTTTCTTAGCTTTCTTACATTGTGATGCATAAATATTATTGTTTTTCACTCATGTCTCTGTATTTGAGGAGTTGATTGTTAGCTTTCTTACTTTGTGATGCATAAATATTATTGTTTTTCACTCATGTCTCTGTATTTGAGGAGTTGATTGTTAGCTTTCTTACTTTGTGATGCATAAATATTATTGTTTTTCACTCATGTCTCTGTATTTGAGGAGTTGATTGTTAGCTTTCTTACTTTGTGATGCATAAATATTATTGTTTTTCACTCATGTCTCTGTATTTGAGGAGGAGTTGATTGTTATATATTTTTTTTAACTTTTTTTAGGGGTGATTTTGGTGGAGGAAGCATGCTTATAGGTTCGTAAGTTGTCTTGTTTCATATCTGATCGACGGTTTCAACAGCAACACTTGTTTGGATTTGTAATGTCTTATGGTGGCATGCAGGGCCACATGATCCCCAGTTTTTTGGAGGAAATAGAGGAGGTGTGCCTGGTTTACCAGGAGGTCAACCGTGAGTCTCTCGCTCTCATGCTTGTGTCCATCTGTGTGTGTAGTGTCTCTAAAATTTTATTGTGTTACCGGGTGTTAATTTAACTTAATAATGCAGGGGTGTTCCACCTGGTGCCCGTTTTGATCCTTTTGGCCCTCCTGACGTTCCAGGTTTTGAGCCCGGACGATTTGTTAGGTATGATGATACATAATTTTTTCATAAATTTGTATGGTCAATCAGAGAGTAATACAAATTTATTGGTTCAATGAGTTCTAGACAGGCAACGTATGAAGTCAGTACGGTCTGTTACTCACTAGTAGTGTCTTTCCAGTTTCCACTTTGTCTTTCCGGTCAATTATTACATCTATGATTGTAGTGCATGATCCAAATTATCTCAGGTCTTTTCTCATTTCACTAATTATTCTATCCATCTTCAAACATTACATTTTTTAAATTCAATCAGAGAGTAATACAAATTTATTGGTTCAATGAGTTCTAGACAGGCAACGTATGAAGTCAGTACGGTCTGTTACTCACTAGTAGTGTCTTTCCAGTTTCCACTTTGTCTTTCCGGTCAATTATTACATCTATGATTGTAGTGCATGATCCAAATTATCTCAGGTCTTTTCTCATTTCACTAATTATTCTATCCATCTTCAAACATTACATTTTTTAAATTGAGTAGTGTAGCAGATATCATATGCTGGGCCGTTACTCAGCATCCATTACTTCCATTTAATAAACATGTGGGCCACAAAGTACTATATTTTCTTTTAGCTTTAAATTCTATGAGCTTGGTTAGAACCTGTTTCTACTGAATTTTTTACTGTTAACATGATTATATCCAAATTACATTCCTTATTGACAAGGATGACTTCGTCACCATTCAATGTTAACATTTCTTGGTACCAGTTGATGGTTTCTGTCTTTGAACTTCGTTTTGTTATCTTAATTTCATCTTTCAAGCTTCTTAATCATTGAATAAGAAGCAATTCCTTTACAGGACTCTTGAAAAACAAGTATTCTTGTTCATCATCACGTCTGATCAAACAAGACACTTGGTAATTGGTATAATAGTTAAAGGTCTTTCATGCCTTTATCTAGAACATTAATTTTTAAATTACATTGACTTACCCTGAAAGAGAACATTAAGTTGTGCTTTAAGGTGATGTTCTAGGCATGGTAGAGTAAACTTAAAACAGAGCTTTAAGTAACTGACTGATTGATAGAATTATTATTTTTAACATTATTCTCGTATAGTTGATGATAAATTCTGGGTAGAGCGGTGAACTTGTTTTGTCCGTGGTGTAGGTTGGATAAATTCTTGGTGGGGTGCAGTCTGAACATTTTTTTCCTTTGTGTATGCTGGATAAATTCTGGGTAGAGTGATAAATTCTGTGTAGAGTGCAGTCTGAACTTTTTTTTTTTCCTTTGCGTATGCTGGATAAATTCTGGGTAAGATGGAGTGTGAGCTCGTTTGTTCCTTGATGTGTGTTGGACCGTGCTTAAAGATTGACATGTGTGTTCATTCTTCTCCTCTTTTCTCTTATTCTTTTTATTTGTTTTTAATGCTAAACTTCTGTGCAGAAACCCAAGGAGGCCTGGTGGTGGTGGGACACATCCGGATCTGCAGCATTTTGGCAACGGCTCAGATTTCATTTAGACTTGTTCATAGAAAGAGACATTTTGTATTTACCTCTAATACCCTTTTACGGGTTTCAACTACAGTTTATATATTTGCTGATGTATGCGTGGTAATAATTTCTTTTTCCCGTTTGTTTATATGTATATTTCGTTCACAAATGCGGGATACTTTTCAAAAGGACCAAATCAAACAATGACTTTGCTACATTGACCAAAATTTTTTTGCCATTAATCAAAAGGGTTTTTTGAAGTGTAAATGTCATTTTTGTTTTTATTATGTTTTGTAATTACAAAAATATATCATTTATTCAAAAGACAATAATACTCTCATTTAAAAAATTAATAAATCCAAACACTTTCACTTAAATTTCAAAATCAAATCACTTTTCTATCAGATTTTTTAATACAGTAAAAAAGAAAAATTTTCTTCTATTTGCTTAAACGTTGAAATTTCGCAAAATTATTGAAAGTTAAACAAAAAAATATTATTTATAGCTAGTATATTGTTTGAATCTTTGAATTTTATTTAGACGTAGGTAGATAAATTATTAGGGCCATTCTACAAGTACATAGGGGGCTACCTAAGGGTGTCCTATGTTCAACAAGATTTATCCAAATTATTATAGTTTTGAATTGATTATATGGACACCCTTAGGTAGCCCCCTATGTTCAACAAGATTTATCCAAATTATTATAGTTTTGAATTGATGTATAATTTTCTTTTAACAAAAATGAGGAAAAAATTTATCTTTGCGCATATTATTTCAGAAAAATAGGTCCGGTTTGGCCCAGACGTTCTGGGCTGGTTGGAAACAATCGGCCTGAACCAATTTTTTAAAATAATGTTTAATTATTTATTTTATAATTTATTTATTTATATTTCATGAATTATCTTAATTGTTTATATGTATATTGTTTATTTAAGTAAATAAATATTAGTTAAACAATTAAAATAATTAATGAAATATTCTAAATAAAAAATTAAATTAAATATTAAATGAACAATTAAAATAATTATATATTAATTCCTTATGTCTAATTTAATTATTTTCTAATATTTTTAATTTGTAATGCAGATATGGCATCAACATGTGTTCCAATTTGTTATTTCGGTGAATTTTAGAAGAGTGAAAATATTCAGTAGAATAGAAATGGATGAGTGAAGGAGATAGGGTTAAAGCAATTTTCATAACAATAAGTACATCGTTTATAGAAATGTACTATGATATATAAAACATGCTTAACATCGATTCCTCTTAGTACAATATGGAATTAAAATTTTTATTTCAGAAGCATTCAACCATTTCGATTCCGCCTATGAAAGTTACTTTTGAAGTAGAGACGAAGCATCTAATTAAATTGAACCAATGCCGAAAGTCGACTCCTATTTGCGTAACTTTATTGAGGAAAAATGTCCCCGAGGGTGAATACGAAGTTTTCGATAAAGAGGATCATAATGTAAATGATGCTTGGGATTCAGTTCAGATTGTTCATGGAAATGATGTGGTTATTCCCGAAATGGTTGCTACTCATCATGATCACACTGTTACGCACAGAATTTCCTCGTCAGTTAAATATAACGAGAATGAAAATGCATTTACAAATGAGGATTTGATTGCTTTATCCCGTGGAAGACATAAGTCGGGTGGGAACTCACAGGTTGGACCGAGTATACGATCCTCGAATTGTTCGCGTGTGGTTCCCGATGATAAAATGTATATGTTGAGCAATTGTTCGAATCAAAGAAAGAATTACAGGAATTTATGCACCGGATTGCTTTGAAGCATAACTTTGAATTTAAAGTAAAGAAATCAAACAAGTTGAGAACATATTTGTGAAGTAGGTATTCGTCGAAACGATCACAGGCAAGCCTGATTATGGTTTATTGGCCAAGAAATAATGCACAAGTTTTAGGACCTATGAATGATCTACAGACCTTTAGACATCATTAATTGCGTTTGTCAAGAGTACAGGGTGGTCATAAACTATTAGAATACTTGGAAACCCAAAGAATGCGCATTGGAGGACTTGATGGATCCGACCGAAGAGAGTTATGCTAAATTGGCCAGGTATTTCATTGTTTAGATGTTTATTTAATATTTATTTTAATTGTTAATTATTTTATTTCAATTGTTTATTTTTCTGTTTATTTAATTATTTAATTCAATTGTTTATTTAATATCTAATTAATTATTTAATTGAATTGTTTGTTTTTCTGTTTATTTAATATTTAATTGATTATTTAAATTATGATTATTTTTTATTTAAATTGGTC